ACTAGGACGTCGAGGAATGCCAATTTGTCATTTTGTTCTGTTTCCATGGTGAACTTGATATCCGGGAAGATGTTATTGATACTGTTGAAGGTTCTGTCTACTTCCGATCGCTTCAGAATCACAAATGTGTCATCTGCATATCTAAGCCAGAGCTTGGGCTGTAGTTGTGGTAGAAAGGTCCTTTTCGAGTTTTTGCATTACGGCTTAAGCAATGAATCCGGAGATTGGTAAACCCATGGGTGTTCCTTTCACCTGTTCGTAAATTTCACCGTCGAATTCCAAGAATGTTTGTAGGCATAGGTCATTATTTCATCTGCATCAATATTTACATCCTTCAATTTTTCTAGGAACTGTTTGGCATTATTGATGGATTGGAATTGAATCAAATTCTCCAATACTCACATAAAATAATCCTTTTCATTCTTCTGAATGCAAACGGGCTTAGAATGTCAAACTGTCTCCCTCCTCAAGAATTTGCCAACGGCCATTATACGGTTAGGTAGTGTTTCCTTTCTTCTCTCTCCTTGAATCAAGAACAAACCGACTAGCAGTGCTTGGGCTTTGGTGGCGAACTCCTGATTGATAGTTCATAAGAGATGTGACGAAGAAAGTAGCCACCTCATACACCTGCTGCAGGCGTGTGCGAGGTTTCGGCTAGCCTAGTTCCTTTTCTGACTAGCCTCAGTTAGTTTTTTCAAGACAGGCGTACCGCGTCCACGGCTCCGCACACCCTGAAAGAAAACCCTTTTTACCGAGAACAACTTTCCTCTGCTGTTAACCACTCGGTGTTTCAATAACGATACGTCAATATTTTCACTCGCCGTTACATTCGGTGGTGAGTTCCCTCAGTATATTGTTCTTTAAACCGACTCCCATCAACTGCATATTTTCATCTTTCCGAGCACAAGTAATTCTGCTCTGTTATCCGGTGTCACATTCTGAAATGCAAACAACCCTGTCAACACTTTACGAAGGCTCTTCTTCGACTGCCTTCTAGAAGGAGCTATGTGGTGATTCCACCCTTTCTCTTCCAGTCTCGTTTGACTCACAAGACACACGGTTATTTTGCCAGGTACACCTTACCTGTCTGCGACCAACCGCGGGATTGTCACTTAAACCGGTATTCCACGATTTCTCGTCTCACGCGCAAACCTTTCTATGCAAGTCTTCCGCCTTGAAACATTGGTCACGCCTGCCCGTCTTCCTACTTGTTCAGAGCAATAGTGGTTATGCTCTCCAGCGTTATTTGCAGATACCTATGTGCATACGTATATTTACACCAGCTCTCGCCCATCCGTCCGTCATGGAACAGATGCGCACTGGGACCGGTAGGTTTATTTCGCATTCACAATTACTGCATACCATGGATAACAAATTTGCCTTGGACTGATCACTCCTGAGTAAATTAACTGTACCCTGGCTCTCTGTCTGTCTGGAGACTCCTCCCTGTTTCGAATTACAATGCAGACACAACTCGCACATATTTCACGCCATCCCATCCGTCCAGATGACAAGAATTCCAGAGTAAACTAGAAATCGACATGGGATAGGAAGTAGTTTACTCGGTAAAACCAGATTAAAATAATAATTATATAACACAATGTACAACGGAGTAAATTAGTTTCTGAAGCTGACTATTGGAGCCGCGTGTCAGCAAACGCGGAATGATTGAGCACCAAGTCACAGGCGGATCGATACAACAGTGCATCCAAATCCGGTTCCAAGGATGACAACAACTTGGCGCTGATCACGTGCCGAGGATCTTGTGGATAATGGTCATCAGAGTCCACGGAACACAGTTTCTTGACAAGGTAGTTTAGCCACATCACATTTGTCATCGGAGTGAATTTCTTCCACTGGTTACTGAAAATGTAGTAGAACGAATGAATGACTGTTCGGTCAGAAACGCAATAATTTAGAAGGAAACAACAAGCATCATGCATTCGATTAGGCGTCGAACTAACAGTTCTGGGAAATGTATACGAAAAGGAAGCATAGCAAATAGTCTATTTATCTGCCTTTTCGTGCAGTAGTGATTTTCATTCTGTTTGCGTTCGGGAACCAAACAACAATGCTACTGAATGACCATCGGAAAAGAAAGTGAATGTAAATGTCTTTTTACTTCCTTTTTTATTTATCGAATACACAAATGCACAGTCAACATTCAAGAAGGGGGGCCGCGGCCATTAAAAAGGTTGCTTGGGAAGACGGCCGGCGGCTGAGTGGTTCGAGCCTGGCACTCACAGGTCACAAGTTGGTGACGTAACCACTTGGCCACTACCTCCAAGTGAAAAATAAGCATGGGAAATTCGAATAAATTATTCCATTGTTTTACTGGAAATTGGATTCATGAGCTTGAATCGATTCCGCACATACCGTACCGACTTGTGACAACAATAAGTGAATGTAACAGTACCTAAAACATGAGCAGTTCTCATACCTTCGGGGAGAAAATCTACGGAAATCAATTAGACAAGATATAGATTTGAAAAAACTAAAGTTAATATCGGCAGAACGGTCAATCTGTGGCAACCCCGTTTGAAAGTGAACATTCCGATAGATTTTCTAAATAATCATTATCCCCGAAATTCCAGTAACAAGCACTCCATTACAACGCACTTAGGAAATGATTCAATTCGTCAACAGAACGATTACCGCAACACAACAATTATTCATTTATTCCTGACTCTACCCTTACCCTTAACGTTCAAAATGATAGATCATCGGGTCTACAACGAGCAAGAACTATCTATCTATTGCCTCCAAAAACCTCAGTATGGTCGAGGGTGGTTGGTCACAACCTCACACACACACCCTCTTTGCACCTCCGGAAATGACCCCACACTACTAACTATCTGAGGTAGGCCCTACTGAGGAAGCCTTCCTCATTGCCTTCTCGTAGGACTGAGTGCTCTCACTAAAGTGAGGAAAAAAATCCCATATCCGGTTAGTTCACCTAACGGAGGCGGTCAAAACCCTGATTAAAAACAAACCAGGAGGCGTAAGAACCACGCACACATCTTAGTTGTGTCTGTAGGCATCAGCTCGATTGAATATCGATGTGTATTGGGTACCTTGAAAGTTTGACCTCGTCCGAAGGACGTATGATCCGATGGAATGGATACTGACCTCCCATGGATTGCGGTTTTCACACAACGCCCCACTGTCCTGCGAGTCGAACTTTGGTTAGCCGAAGGCTCCGGTTGTTAACTTCCCAAGAAAATCCACTCGCTTCAGCGTGGGCAATCTAGCAGCATCATGCACCGTGATTTGTTTGGCATACAGTCGGATCTCTGATGTGTGAAAAAATATGCATAATTTTCCCAGTGACAAGGAAAGTTGAGTCACCGAGCCTTGGTTGGGTCAATATTTGCATCGTTGCTAATGNTGCGCCGAATAAATCAAAACATAGCGAAATTCAAGAGGTGGCGGGATTTGTGCACACATGTCGTTCAAGCGAATCGGTTGATGACCTTGACCGCCGCCATTGCATAAATGGAACCACAGGCCTCAATAATGCAGTAAGTGTTACCAGGACTCTATAGGCGGTTGTGGTCAGGTGGTAACGTCACCATTTTATCACCCCGAAGGATATGTTCAAATTGCACCAGTACCGCCTAATTATCCCCATTGTGAATCGTTGATTGGTTCCTTCATCCTTCCTGAAAATTGTATCATTATGTATTCAATAGGAGGTAAAAATGAAAAACAGAACTCCTTGTGTATAGCAAAAAATTGAATCCTGTTGACAGATGACTTTAAACTGATAAACAAAGCAGACTGCAAAACTTAGTTCCGCAGCATTGGCCAAATATCCTGCCAGTACGAGCACAGAATCAAGTAGACTAGAACACTGAAAAATACACAGGAATGCGACGGGCTTTTTCGAAAATGGAGCGCAATTTTGTCATTATAGTTCGTCTTCCACTGAATTGGGAAAACTCATAGCCTTAAGATCAGGCGTCTGCGTCCAAAATAACAAATGATCACCGAACCTACCTACATGTGTCAACCGCACACGGCAGAATAAATTGCCTCTGACCCGGTAAAACTCTCTGTCGACGGTTCGGTCACCCCAGGTAAGCTAATGTGTTATCGTGTTACAACCATGACCATTTATCAGCATCGATTACATAGTGCACACGGAACACAAAAGCAGTCTAAATTAAAAAAACGCATAAATACATACATGCACGCCCACATCCTCCTGTTTCAACCTCAAGCAGCGCGCGAAACTTTCATCCAAAAGATTGTGACTTAGAGAGATTGATGTACGAGATATGACGAAGGCCTTGCAAGATGATCACTATTAAATCATAACTCATACTTGCTTGATTCCAGACTGTATACCAAACAACGTACGGTGAAACAATATTTATGACAATGATATCAATTCAAAATTTGATTATAGGTGGAATATTGACAGGCTGAGCAAACAAAAGCATATACGCTTCATGCGGGTTCTACAAAACAGAGCCTCCGGCTAGCCAAAGCCTGATTCATATTGTGATGGAAGGTGGTACAAAGAGAGTTCCGACCAGCGAACGAATCAAGAATAGGGCCGATCCAGACGTAGCGGCTGGAAGTACTTCGCGAGATAATGTCGGCTACCACTCGAAACGAACGAATCGACAATTACAGCCCGACGGACAATCCACATCTAGCCAGAAAGATATCCACCGAATACCACAACGTCAGAGCTGTCAATCAACATCCCTCGCACTACGTTTGGGTCAAACCAGTCGGAACGGCAAGCGAAAGAAGAGGAAACGTACGTACCAAAACCAACAGGAATGGACGAACAGAACGAGGCATGAATTATCCTGCCGCGCGGTTGAGAATTGATTGTATATAATCGAACGCATACACCGGTTGTTTTTGAATTGAATCAATAAACGTTTTGCCAGCCGACCCGCCTCCCCGATACAATTCGACAGTAGAGATGGGTGTGAGTTCAATATCCCGCATTCTCCAGGGATGAGGTTGTGGTAACCAGCATATAAGTTCATGCGCGCCTCGGAAGGGGTCAAACATCCGAGGTGCTTACGAAGTCCAGAAAGATGTGTGTGGTTATCACATGTATTTCTGGTTGTTAAGGCATCAGGTATTTTTGTAAAATTTCGAAGACGAACTGACTCGGATATTGATTTATCGTCCTCCCAATTCGGTGAGGCAAACACACCGACTGAAAGCAGTGAGACAGCACGAGGAAGGACGGTCAATAACAACCAAAGACAGCCAGCACCAAGCAAACTGAGATTTTCGGAAAATAGCCTGGTCAGAGCATAGAAACGATGCAAGTAGAAATTTCGTATTTTGGCATTATTGCTGTGACTAAACCGTATATGGGAAAAAATCTGTACTACCCAATTGACAATTCAGAAGAAATAACGTAAAGTACTCATTTTGACACGGAATCAACTGCGTACCCGGATTTCTTGGTATCAGACAACCGGACGGGACATGAGGCCAACAATGAGATGTTTCATGGTGGGAACCCAAATCAGTGAAACTGAAAAGGGCAATCACAGAAGTTTTTTAGGAGGAGGAGGGGGGGGGGGTAAGTGATTAAGGTTATACCACAATGATCCGGAGGTGATCCAATGATTAGGGTAGTATGAACAGCGACCAAGAGGCCCCGAATTTCAATCTCACCAGTGCTATCCGTCTTAGCCATTCTTATATTTCCTTTGGCAGCACTTTCTTACATTTGTGCATGCAGTGAATAAAAAAGAAATAAGAATGACATTATTATTAGCGCAAGGTCGACAAGGTCGAATCCAATCGGCATCATCTGACTTCCCGAGGCAGGGCTGAGCGCTTTCCTGAAGGTTGTTTGTATCAATGTTTATTCAATCAAAAGTTATTAGTGTCATTAGGATTACTAATTACGCCGTTCACGGTACTANGATGAGATGCGATACCGTATGCATATGAATATGGTGGGGGGGGGGAGGAAAAGCATATCACAGTTATATTAGGCGTCAAGGTGAATTTGAGGAGCGTGTCACACATACTTACCGATTGTGTTTACGCATTAGACGGTACACATCGAACTGATAATCACCTTTAGATTCGAACAGTGTCGGGTCCGTCGACAAGTCCACGTACACCAAACCTCCGTCTGAAAAATTGGTCAGATGGGAGAGCGAAGAGATGACGATTAATGGCATCCGTTTAGGAGGGGATTACGAAATGGCAGAGGGGACACTAATGCAAGAGGAATACGGTGAATGCAAATCAGGAGGGAGCGGGGGGCCCGGAACTCGAAGAAACTATTAGGCGATGCAACAGGTTGACTATCCACAAGGGAAGAAGACTGGACGACACAGAGGCCATGAATTGAACGCCAGCGGAATGCGACAAACAAATTGGATGATGAAAAAAGAAACACAAAACAGACATCAAAAGTATATGAGGTGAAAAATGAGCAGAGCGGTTTCATGTAACAATCTGGGATGTGAACAAAAACAGGAGAATGGAAGTGCTGTCCATGGTCACAAATGCATGCACTTCCGTGATGGCAACTGATAGCCTATGGGATATGGGTTTTACGAGCATAACCACGCTAAAAACCCGCCATATGATAAAAACGGAGCTTAACAGTAGTCAAACTTTCAACCGTCAGTGATAGTGCGGCGATGGCCAGTGATGACCATTTTGTTCGCTCGACTACCATTGCTTCAGTTATCGGCAGGGGCAATTTTCTCGAGTGGACTGTGCAGTGGAAAGTGGGAACAGTATAATTCACAGGTCAATTCAAATTGTACCCGGGCGTTTCGTGAAACCATCTACAGATCGGTCTCGGAAATAACCCATAGTTGCACTTGGTGGAAATGATCCTGGAGATCTCGTTTTTCTCACAGACTATCTATTCAGTCAGGAGGGATCCTCGGGGAGATCAGTAAGCAAAATTTTTCTTTGGGTGAAAGTGCCCACGATCAGATTAGGGGATAAAGACATACCTGTGTGCGGTAGGTCAGTTAATCTAGTACGGCGGATTTAGAGGGTCGAGCCGATCTGGATCTTGTACACTGCATTACTGTTTTCCCGGGAAATGTGACCCAGTGCCTGCCGCTTCACACCAGCGGAGCTTTCTAAATGATGTCTCGACGGGGAAGCCTTGATGCTGAGGAAAACCCGAACGTAATTCAACTGAGAAAATCCGGTGAAGATAAGCGATGAAAAAGGCAGTGAAACAGCAGTTCAACAAGAATGAGGGAGTACTATATTGTGCGTTCCAACTGGGCGAAAGAGTCACGTCGAAGGATTATCGTCACAACCATGAAAAACGAACACCAGGCCAGTTTTACCGGTGGTCGTATGTTATGATCAAATTATGGTTTCGGCGGACGTGTGTTCGAATCCCACTGCCACTGTCTGACTCCTATTCTGTGTTGTATAGCAAACCTCTGATTGGCCGCTTCATTCTTCCTGAAAATGGTATCATTATTAATTAAATAAAAGGAAGTAAAATTAAAAACGATTAAAAGAATAAAATGTATTAATGTACTATACGAGCTCTAGGTCGTTTCACACATCTCAACCCGCCGTACTAACCAATTACGAAACACGAGATGCACGGACCTACCGCCATCAGACCCGTAATTATCAAATAATTTGCTTATAGATATCTTCAAGTCAGACAAAGAAGAACCGCGCGCACCCAAGGAGGAGAGACAATTCAGGGAAATACCCGTTTGATTATTTACGAGTAAAATTGGGCGAAAGAATCACGTTACCTTGTTCCAGACGAGACAGAGTGAAGTCGATAATCACCGCGACGAGGCCATGTGTAGGCACGTCAAACGAGGAACCGTTCAGGCGGAAATGCGTCCTGTGCGAGAGAGTCTCAGGAGAGCAAAACTGACACGTATCGGATCGCTCAAACAAATCCGAACGACACGGACGAACCAGGACATTACCCCAGTGCAGATCGCGATGTTCGAAATGCAGTTCAGACTCAGCGATTGCCAGCGAGAGAGCGACTTGACGAAGTATGGACAAGCGTGCAGCTGGGCAAGGGGGCTGTGGACAAAAACCGGAATTGGTGGAGGGCATAATTGTGGAATTTCTGAGAAACTAAGATATATATGGTCGATTTTGGAACTCCTACGGAGAACAAGTTGCTTATTCTTTTTTTCTAATTGTAACTGAAAGACGTTCGATAATCTAAGCTTGAGTTAAAAAAGTCGGCGGAAGTTGGTTTACCAATTGTTTTTCTGTAAATTCACACAGGCAGTAGAGTTACTTGTCACAATCAACTAGTGCTGATACCAGAGCTTCACAATGAGAGAACGTCAACTTTGAAATAGACAGAACGGAGACATGGTCCATGCATACTGCAGAATAGCCCTCATAAAGTTTGGGCTTAAAATCAATTATTCCAATAAATCACTATTTTTGTTGTCGACGACAGATTCAAGTGCGAATAAGTATATTACTGACGTGAAATACATGGCAGTAGTTACGAGATGTTCAGAAGGGAAAAAAACAAGAAGATATATACATATATATCTACATATTTACAATAGTTAGTATATGAATGACTCAACAGAATTGCCCTGGAAGCACACGATCGATTTCGCGGTTGCTGCCGCTCGTCAAGTATGTGTATCCGGTAATCTTATGTCATTTCGTTCGTATACTTGTACTCAGAAAATCTATTTTCAGTAAAATAACTTCATTTCCAACACCGGGTAAATTTGTTGCGACTGCTCTTTCAGAATGACAGTATTGGTTCATATATACAGATATATACAGATATATATATATATATATATATATATATATAGAGAGAGAGAGAGAGAGAGAGAGATTTTCCTCCAGGGAAATTTTGTCCAGTCATTGATAAACTAATTATTGTAAAATGTATGTGTTAAAAACACGAGTCGGTGAGCAAACAATGGTTTTTGGATATTCCTAATGATGCTCTTACATGTCATAGAGTGGGAAAATGCTTGGATAGTAATAGCAACTGGCTCAATTTAAAGTATACAAGTCTAATCGAAACTGAAGCAACAGGTCCCTGTGAAACACTTGTCGGTTCGTATAGGCAACAGTAGGCAACAGTGAACAAAATTTTTTTCAAAACTAATGATAAACGAGTCTTGGAGAGTGATCTCAGAGTGCTGTTTTCCTTTGCAAATTAAAGGAACAGAGGAGGCTGGGGGAGGTGGGGGGATAAGAACTGTCTGCATTTTCACCCGGGTAGTTGCGTGAGATCCTTTCCTTTCTGGATGTGTGCTCAAACAAACCGTTCCCAAACGAAAGGTAGTAGGGAAACGGATCCCGAGCAAGGGACTGATATGGAACGCCCGGCCAAAACGACGAGGAGAAGCAATGAGTGTCACAGAAGGAGCGCGTTATTTTCCGTGCGGAAACTTGGCTTGATTTTTGTCCCCCAGTGTGACTCGTACGCGTACGTACTTCGCGGCATTGTATTGGCACATGCTATTCATTTGATTTGCATATCAGTAACCCGTGGCCACGGTATTGCAAACGCTTCGAGAGCCCAAAATTTATTCTCTAGCCAGAGTGTTGGTTTGTAAACAATGACAGGTGATGTAAAACAAAAACTTGCCTAAATACATTTAAACAACCCGATTCCCGCCGCGTGATTCCTTGTTACAGAGAACGTTTTCTATTGAAGCATGTCTCATAAAAAAATGATAATTCGTTTCCTCGTTAGTCAAATAAAGTAACTGCGCTTGACGTCGGACGAGCATAGAGTTCGAGTCAAAATGTAAGCCTCACAGCCGCTTTGTTGCAGTCAAGTAGGTTTGAACTTTGTACGCTGCTGTAATTACTGAAGTTATCAGTGGTTTGATTAAGATTATCCCACAGAAGGTGATCTGTCATTTGAGTACAGTCCGAGCATGCACTGCCAATTCCGAATTCATCGTGTTAATTGGGGAAAGGGTCACGCTTTGATTGGGCGCTTCCTCCTTCCTGAAAATTGTACCTTTGTATAATCAATAAAAAAGGAAGTAAAATGGAAATGAAAATGAAAAAAAATAAAGTGCAATAACCCTAATATTGATCCGTCATAGACGGGAACGAGTTACCACGAACACTTGAACTTACCAGATGGTCTTCCAGTGCGGAGCCACTGAACAGCATTTCGATTACAAGCCAAACTTGTTCTTTGGGGAAGATACCTTTTCGGAACAGGTTAGGATCAAAACATTGAGGTTGTGTTTATCCACAGTTTTACGGGTGTATAATAAAAAAAAGACTGTAGCAAACACGCATTGCGTAAAATGCAAACGAGGAAATAACGACACAGTTCCATGCGCTTTTGTGAACAAACGAACCGCTCTACGTCTTCAAGGTTAACTGAGTCACACACACTTGTTCCAGGTCTGGGAAGACTGAGATAGTTGGTCGACAATGTGTGTGTGTGTGTGACGAGCATTGAAGGAAAGTTGAATTATGAGTAAAATCCCCAAAACATGTTCAAGATTCTACGTATCATCCACGAATGATATATACTTATTTTAGATTCGGCGATCAAGTAATAAAATGACCTACAATTTGGACAAGATAAAACATTCTACCCCGAGCCCGCCGCATTTGTAATTGTTTCCCTTTTTCCGCACAGCATTGGTACCTTGCTTGTGTGCCCAGTGGGCGCGTGAAAACAGCGACAAGTGGTGATTCTCCATGTTAGTGAACTTTGTTCTTCAGACCAGCAGTTGTTACGCAAGGAATCGCCTCCTCCTCATCTCCTAAAGAGTGAGGAGAGGGAGTTTGTCAGATATGGTTGCGCTTCCCCTCTTTAGCATTTCAACATAAGATCAAATTTCGTGTTCTTCGTGTCTACATGAGGCCATCTATCGTCGCTTCTACTTGTAGATGACCAGCCCACTTGCATCACACATTATTTGGTTAACTCGGATCCACCGGCTACCGGCAATGGGTTGCAGTTGAAAAATAGTTGACCGTTCCCCGAAACAACGGCTGTTTCCATTTCATCAAACACTCTTCTCCACTAGTACTCACACTTCTTGTTAAAGATTCTCGTGGGTTCCCGCCACAGGCATCATCAGCTTCCGTTTCAACAATGATCGATGACAATGTAAAGCCCTGAAATCAGCGGGACACAGATTGCACATCTTGTCTAGTTCATCTGCCCTTATACGCCCAGACAACTTTTCCGCATGAGCGAACCAAGTTTGTGGCTTTCCGCACACCACACCGAATCGTAACAATGAGCGCATCCAAGGCAATGGATGTTTCAACACAATGTAAGTGATTTTACAGACTGAGATCTTTTGTGCTGAACAGCGCCAACCGAAGCTGTGGTACATTCAAGTCATCTCGCTCGTCACACCAAACAAACGGGGTGTGCACGGGGCACACAGATTCTCAGCAGATACAATGTGCACGATGTACGAGATAAAACACGTTTCACAACCGCAGAAGAGGATTAAAGGCAAGAAATAGGTGCGCTTTACCAGTTCCACAATAAGTATTTACAGTCGTAAAATTTTGATTCACGGATGATATTTCCTAAATAATCATGTATCAAAGTCAATATCACCAGTACTCTATTAAAATGACAAAATTCGTTAAACTGATTACGAATCAATTGGCTGTCAGTGTAGTCATTAAAAAATCTGTAATTAGTGGACGAATAATCTACTGGACAGCACTGTGTAGTAGAGTAACACAACGCACAACTGACCACTAACTCGGATCCACTGGGAAAGAGAGTGCTTAACCGTGGTGCTTGGTGCAATACTGACACCAAAAACACCCGATATGAGAGTAAATGCTGCAGCCGTTCGGCCAGTTCTGCTTTACGGCACAGAGACTTGGCCATTATAGGAACAGGACTGTCAGTGTTCGAACACCGCACGTAACATTGCACGAGTCTGGTGGGAAAACCGGACGAGCAATGCTGACGTTAGGCGTAGTTTTAGGTAATCGCGGTCGTCCACTGGAACAGGTAGTCGACCTCCATAGATTACGCTGGTTGGGACATGTGCTACGCATGTCATCAGATAGGTTGACACGGCGAGCGATGCTTGGCGAGGCAGGTAGCGGTTGAAAAAAATGAAGGGTGATCAAGCTAAGTCCTGGTATGAGGGTATGAAAACCCTGACCAGGAGACTGGCTCACACAGGTCCCGTTAGGCTCCCTGGCTGGGGACCCAGAGATCATGGTCACCGGTGGTTATGGACACTGAGCGATATAGCTGGGTGTCGCAAACAGTGGCGCTCATGCATCTACTCATTATTCTTGTAACTTCAGTCGATGAAGATGTGCTATCTTTCGCTTGAATCTGCTCTCAACATTCTAAGCATCATTCTGCTGTTTTATCTATTTGGGCAACCAAAACCGGTGCACGAAAGTGCATGGTTAATGGTTGTAAGAACTGAACTGAACTGATGGGATTCATCCTTTCTATGAACAATATATGTGACAACTCATCAGATGACGGAAGTGAATCATTCAGAATAAAAGCTAGAGCCTAGTGCTTCAATATAATTATTGCCCCTATCCGCCAAAGAAAACTGTATTTACTTATACAAGTTTGTATGTTCAACGATCTACATAGGTAGGGCAAAGCGAGAGAGAGAACATCCCGATAAGGCTTAAGAAACCGCTAGACTAAAAGCTCGAAATCGTTGCACTATCGAATGGGCAGAAAATACTCAGATCTTTGAATACGTAACATCTTTTTGAACAAAAACATTGGGTTATTCCATTTCCCAGGATTTCAGCTCCTTTACAAGACAAATTTACATATTCCGAGGCCCTAGGCATTCATAATCACGAACCCGTTCGAGACAAACAACTTGGATGGTTGGTCACATTAACTTTGCCTTGATGGTTGAACCCCAATTTCTTTCATTTTTCACATTGTTATGTTGTTTTATCTGTTGTAATTAGTAATATTGTCTTCGTCTTACGGTTGCTATTTCACCTTCCACATAATCACCTTACCTACAGCATATGCACGTGCACAGATGCAGCGAAAAGACTATGAGTACATTGTGCAAACCCATGTTTGTGACTTCTTAATCAAACTTGGGACAGAAAAACAGTGCTTTCAGTTTAATTAGTGAGTATCTGATTGCTGAATTAGGAACTTGAAAACCCGTGAGATTCCAAACTCGTCATATGTTTTATTGGATTCCGTTTCCAGATATCTGTATTTTTAAACTAAGCAATGTAATTTATTTCTTCTCAGTTGTCAAACGGAACCCGAAAAATGTGAACTATTTAACACGAACTTATGCTCACGTTTTATACTGGTTAAAACCACATGCGCGATCAACGCTGAAGTATGGACGTCAGACAGTCTATTTATACTCATAAGGTCTTTGGTTATTTCAAGGTTACCACAATTGACCGCACCATGTAATGTATAAATTTGGTTGAAAATAGAAACTGGTACTTAAAAATATGACGCGAACTTGATTTTTGGGACCAAAAAACAGCAACAACAACTTTTGGCATTTTTCAAGGGTTACATTACATCTACAATTCACTTGGTTTTTCACGTTAAGATTCAGTAAAAAAATTCAGTGACAATTGTCTTCTATTGTGCGAGTATATAAGAAGCTTGAAGTTTAGTCCAGTGCACACGAAACAGGCCAAAAGAAACCTCGTGGTGTGCGGTAAAACGAACACGGTTACTCCGGTTCTTCTTAAACCGTTTTTCCCACTTTCCTCCACTTTACTCACTTCCCTCTGTTTATTTTCATGAACGGTGCGTTACTATCGTATTTGTTCTAAGGCTGATATACATAGGCCATTGTCATGGTTACGAGTAAGTAAAATTACGTTGTTCACCAGTTTGATTGAAATGTATACGGTCATATATTAACTCCTTTTCACCCTCACAAGTGTTGCAGCATCTTAGTCCATCTCAACACAAGGTTATTTTGAATCAGAAGAACCAACAAAAACTGTTTTTGGTGCTATAAATATCTTGTATTTAGTGGTCAACTAATTGTGTCGATCACACCGCAGAAATGGGTCTCACCGAATGGAATACTCAGTGAAGAGAAAGTAAAATCAGGGTGTACATGCCTGGTTCAATAACATATTTTGTGTCCACTGCAGGTCTGGATAGAGTAATAATTGTCTATATCCGAAAAGATGAGTGGAGATGATGAAAGAGGTTTCGCCCAATTGTTGACAAGTCTTTATCATCGAGGAATTGACTGTAATATTCTAAATTTGTCAAATAGACAAATAAGGATTCACTCAATGAAAGAGTGCGTAGAGAGAGAGAGAGTGAATGAGAAGAACAGGAGGGAAAACTGAATTCTTCAGATATTTCCTTTCAGAAAATGATGTCACTCTTTAGAAGGAAGTTATCAGGATACTCTGACGCATTCCATTCACTTGAACTTCATCAATGTAGAGAGTGGATGCCTTGATTTGAATCTCTTCTTCTAGGTCCAGTTGTCGACGACACAAAGCTTTGAGAGAATCGTGAGCCAAGTTGAGGCGATGCTGCAACTGGGCCACATCGTGTGTGATTTCTCCAATTTCTTGAATCAAACTGTGTAAAGCAAGCGGAAAAGCAAAGGGCTGTATGATTCAACATAATAATTGAAAAGTACTCTTAGTTCACAGCAAAATACGTTCAGCTTTCATCCGATTTCGAGAATGCATTTCGTTACAAGCGATGGCTAAAATAGGTATCCTCAATTTTATACTGGCCAAAAGTTTAAGCGGATGACGAGTAACTTATTTCATTTCTTTGATATTGCTTGGTCAAATTACGTAGTCAATAGAACCCATACTGAATGAGTTGGCATTATAAATACGGTATACACAATGCTCCAACCAAGTGCAAATTGCTTCTTCAACACTGCCAACACAAAGTAGTCACGGTTGTCAGCAATCAGCGGGAAGTAACGGACAACCTTTCTTTACTCAGGAATCGAAGTCACAAATGGAAATAGTACTGAACAGATCAAATCATTCAGCAAAACAAAAACTGATATTTTCTGCTCCTACCATCTATGAAACCCGTCTTATCTCTAAATTTTTCTAAATGGAATGGTTTCGTAGTGCAGCAATTCAAAGTGTTTTGTTTGGCAGTTTAACTATGGCTTTTAGTGTTTAGTCAAAGAGGTGTCCAAAACATTATACGCGTCCTCATGCGAGTACTGATGACTCACAAAAAGCATTTATTGGCTACAGATAGTTGTCATTCAACTGAATTTGTCACACGTACTGCCACCGATGGCTTGGGCACACATGACACATGCCTGATCATCAATTTTCATGCTGAAAGTAATGGTTCGAAGAAGTGTGATAGAAATCAGTCATCAGATTAGTATTCGTGAGCATTAGCCGCAGTTTGACCGTTCCGAGTAGAGCTAAAATGATGAATGAGTGGTTCATTAGAATATCAAAGAGATATCTATTATAATAAAAAGAGATGTAAAAGCCATCCTAATCAATGAAACAACAAAATGCAACATAAATAAAGCTTGTGGTGCAAAACATTCACGAAAAATCAAAACTTTTCGATCAGATTACATTTACCATCTTTATTATCCTTCCAATTTTTTGCTCAGTTATGCACATTGCACTCAAAGTGGTTTAGGTTAGACGGGGATATTATATATATATATATATATGTCTCTCTATTTTTATGACCTAATGTATACAAACTGACGTAGCAAATTAATTAAAACAAAGTTGATTCACGTGCTTTCGACCTTTCTGACGAGCCCCGTTCTAGGCGACCATCTTTGATCGACGACGACGTTATTCAGGCAATGTTGGGATCGGATCCTTTTCTGACAACATTGGAGGTTGCAGAAAGGCCTAATTCAGCCTAATTCAGTTCGGACCATATTCGTAAGATTGGATTGTCGTGAAAATATTCAATTTGGGTGCCACATGAATTGGTTCAAAAGAATTTGGATGATCGAGTTGTCATATACACAACTGTGCATGTTGGGCACAAAATCGAGGCATTCTTGAACCGGATAAATATCGTGTATTTGGTGGGGCATCCGAGGAACAATGAATGCATTATGACCGTTCGAAACCAAATGAAATCTCAAATCGGAGAAGTATTGTCAGCAACTGGGACATTTAACGACAGTAGTCCAAGAAAAGAAGCCAGTGGTATGTAATGAGATGAACATCATACTGCATCACGATAATGCCAAGCCACATACTGCTGTGGGAACTCGTCAAAAATTTGTAGAACTAGACTGGGAAATTCTGTCACATCCACCATATTCCTCGGACATAGCAATCTCCGACTATCACTTGTGTTAGTCCTTACAAATATTTTTGAAGAGAAAAATGTTCAAAAGTGAATAAGATATCGAACAAACACTGGTTCAATTTTCCAAAAAAATGGGACTTACAANCAAATTGCCCTCACACTGGCAAGAAATCAGTAATAATATTGGCAGTTATATTACTTAATAAAGTTTATTGGCGGTAGGAAAGATGGTTTTCCAAATGGGTACCCAAGACTTTAGGGCATGGCATACTTCGCGGCAGCCCACACCGACGAAGGGTTTTTTTGGGAACCCTAACCGGAGCCTTTGATTCAAAAGTCTGACCCACAAGGCAGTGGGGCGTAAATACAACGCGAGAGCGTTAACGGAGCACCTGGATGGGAACTATATTTGCCTCGACATTCCAATCTACATTTTGCTCTTTTATCCAAATGGGCAACCAAAAGACAGCAACCAAAACTGGCATACGAAAGTGCATGGTCAATGGTTGTAAAACCTGAAACTGAACTGATTGGCGGTAGGGAAAATTTGTATTTTCTTTTATTCGAAAAACGGATAGAACCTTCCGGTAGACCATATATATTGCAAAGCTACAAAATCTGAACTATCGAGAATCTTTAATTCTGGTTAGCCGATAAGTGAGCTACGATGACACAGTGGTAACAAGTGTATCCCAATAGAGGGATCAGGAGTTCAAATCCTGGATGAGTCGTTGATTTGTAATCTTAGAAGCGTAACATACGTCTAGTTATTTCCTAGCGTGAGGTTTGTTAGATAAACCGAGAAGTGTGTGTGTGTGTGAAGATAAAATCTGAGGAGTGGTCACTACAAATCAGTGTCACTTATTTCATACTATCATTCACAAGTCACTATAAGGTAAAATCCAAATATAGTATCTCTGTAGTATGAGTGCCTTGAATGAGGAGAAGAGAGTAAACTTTACAACTAAAAACATTCTTTTAAAATCTCTCAGTTTGGTTATCCGTTTTAACACCAAAATCCCATAAGTAGAGAAGACAAACATAGTTTTGTGCTTATTGGCACCGTCATTATCTGGGCAAATAAATCAGAACACTGCCGATTGAAAGTCTGTTGAAAATATTCAATTAGGACGAATGCCATCCGCTAAAAATGTTGATTGAGAAAGAAACGTAACCTTGAATTCAAAATGATGGAAATATTAAAATGTCCACTGAAGATGAGAGTTGAAGATTGAGCCCCATGCAAAACATGTTGTAGTTTCAATCTTAATTTCTACAAAGATGAGTTCCAATTTGGTAATCTACATCAAACCTTCAGGTCTGAGAACCAATTAAGCCGGACAAAGTTTTGTTTTCTATTAGCCAGTAAAGCTTCGTAAATGCTATGGTTAACCTTAGAACATATAAATGTCGTACCAAATATTTGCAATGCAAACATAATGAATAATTTAACTGGGAAACCTCTACCAGTGCCCATAGCAAATAGGAATTTCACCTATCAAGAAGAAAGTAGATACCTAAAGATCAACACTCTTGTGAATTAAGAGTGTAGATATACACTTGATGGTTATCAGGCTGTGCATCAATTTCCATAAGCTGTCGAAATCTATAGCAATTCTCATGGATGCTGCCAGCCCTACATTTAGACTTTATCAAGACTATGGTTCCTTGAAAGAAGCAAAGCGTACGTCACAATTTTAGGCAAAGAATTGAGTTTGTGCTTAAACGTGGTTTTATATCTGCGGACAATTTATCATACTTCGATATATTTTTCCGTCTGCTGTGACTCCTCCAAAACAAAACAAACCAGAACTTACCGATACGTGGCAGGATCCCTGCATAACTCTATATTCGGTCTTTCTTTTCTCAAATCAATTCGTGTACCGGTTAATCTCAGAGCACCATCTTTGTCTTCAATTGCCTTCTTCACATCAGAAACAGTGTCCTCTGCATTGGAGATTTCTTTTAGAACCTACGCGGTAAAGTACATCAACGGTATAATAATAAGCTTGCAAACTTAAAGGAAATATCATATTTGAAAATTAACAACGATACCGCTGCTTGTCAAAATGCACGAAGGGACTGATCGTTCGTCACCAGTGATTAATTTCGTTAGGCAACATCAATTAAGTGAGTATTCAGTACTTGTTCGCCGAATAATCCATACGCTGACTGGTTTAACGACTCATAGACGAACTTCAGTCTAGCTAGTAGCCTAGAGAGTTTTTGACCTACTGTTTTTATAGCAAGGTTACACAAGAGCACTAATAAAAATCGACAATTAATTTCCCCATTTCTTTATACGTTCTTGGTTCCCGAAATACAGGACACAAACTCACCATGTTTCTGTGCGTCTACAATCATAACAGACTATAAGAAGAAGCGGGTACTCGCTCAAAATGCTGAAGCGCTCGGTGGGACTGATAAACAACAGGTTGCAAATAAACGTGCATTGCGCTTGATGGTTGAGTGTGTTCACGAATTGGAGTGAACGTCGTCCGCGAGATGGGATTCACAATACATTTGTGAGCCTGATACCTTTCGCATCTAAAATTCTATCTATTTTTACCAAATTAAAAACATATGGCGCTAAAGACATGAACTCAAGAGACCAAATAAGGAAGGATCTAGAAGGATAGCCGCTGCTTTAAGCTCTTAAATAGCATGTAATCCGAGAAGCAACACAGTCACTCTACTGATCCTAACGGTTCAATGTGAAATGAAAACAGAAAAGTTATTCAAAACAAAAAATCTGTTTGGCTTTCAGTTAAATTCAAGGAGCATTTGGGATGATCCAATAATAGCGGAATAAATGCGGTTCAGGAATGCGAAGCTTCAGTGAAAGTGTTAAAAGAATCCCCAAGAAGACTGATAATGCGACGTTACATTCATCTGTTGAACCGAAAATATGGTCAGGAATGAAACAGCATCACGTCTATTTTTGTCAGGTAGGCTGTGAAATCTAGCACAATTCTGGTTCCTCTATGGGTGCCGTTCATCTAGTCAGGTAGTCTATGGAAGTAAGTCAAAGGTGGTTAGAATAGTTTATGAAATAAGGGCTTGAAGACACTGACTAGGGGACTTGGGGACTTCAGTCACGTTGAACTTTCCATTTCGAGACTACAAGATTGATCTAACTGATAGCAATAAGCCTGGATTGATTTCGCTGAGTGTTGTGAGCAGTAGAGATTGTTAATCCATGTAATTTATTTGCAAATTAAGTTTAACTGTATTCCGTATCTCTACCCTGGTGCAACGTACCACATGCTGCTTCGCCCGTTTACTATTCCTAACAAAATAAGTAATCAAAGACAGGAATAAAACATGCCGCATGAAAGTGACAGGGTTGGATTTGTGTAAACTGAACTGAACTGAGAATGAATCGCTTGTTGCATTTTTCCCGATATTTATACTCGTATGAGCTTCCCAGAGATAAGGGAAATTAGTTTTGTTATACCTCTTCTCACTACGCGATGATGGTGAATTCGATGATAAGAGCGATGATATTCACGGTAACATGAACAATTGATCTGAGTTCGACGTATATATGGACTGCGTCGATAATGAATTTTCGATGAGTTTAACAAAATAAGCTAAATGTTTGTAATAAAGCAAAATAAGTTTTTGCATTTTGACTAAAAAACAAGAAAAAATAAAGAAAAAATTAGGTCGAACACATTTCTCCGAGAAATTATCATATTCAAATTGGACAAATTTGTAAACAACGGTATTGATTGTCGCTTTTGTAGCTCGGGTAATATAACCTGATATTCAGTTGTTTGCAATACAATTTGCAATTTTTCATTGCAATTGCCAAGCTCGGTAACAAGTGAACATCAAAATATTTAATTTTACTTTACTGGGCAAGTAGTAGCCAACAGCTGTTAGAATATTTGACTCAAGGAGCAACTGCGCAAGAGTTCAAGATACTAAATAAAGTCCTATGAGCAAATAAGTTGTACTATATTATCAAAGCCTCAAACAACTGTGAGAAATTGTGATTTCTGACAAACGCTGCGGTGAAATTGTCCGTGGAATGAAATTAAGGTCACTTCGTTAGAAAGACTCACAGCAGCCAAGTGTTCTTCCAATTTTCCTTTTGCACTACGCGTTTCAGAAATACGTTTCGCTAGGGCCCGATTAGTTGCTTCAACCTGTCTTCGCTGATCTGAGGAAATCTGTTGCAGGATACCGTCAATTAGGCTTCGAAGTTCGTGTGAATTCATTAATTGTCTATCTCCAGCCTCGATTGATCCTGTGGAGAATGCTTGCCATTCCTCGTTGGTCACTGATCTAGAGAACACTCAATTAAAGTTTGTTGTTTAAACACCAAGACCCACTTTGTATCAATAGTCGCCGGTCCAGACAGCCCTGGAAGAGATTGATCTGTGCTCTTCAGGGAAAGGGCATATTCATCAATGTTTTGTGCTGTCAGTTTGTCTGCCGCATCCTTCTTCAGATTGTAGATAGCCTTTCGATTTAATCTATAGAAAGTAATTGTGTTTTGAAAGTTAGCTTAAAACCTAGAGCAAACACGCTGAAGAAGATAATTAATACAGGTGAAAGAGGAACACGGTCGGGAATTCCCCTAGATTGCACTTCTATCACTGAAATGCAAACAACTTGCTTTAGGGAGAGTTTGAACAACTGGCGTGCATGGTGTAGACGGAATTTAACAGACATTTCAAAAAATCACGATACTTTATTCCACCAAGTCATCATAGAAGTATTGAAAAATTCTCTTACCTCATCACCAATGAATCTTAGGTTTACTTTTTTGGATATAGTTGAAAGATTTAAAAAAATGAAATCTTGTAATAAGAATTACATGAATACTTTGTGCTACGATCTAAGCTTTCAGAGCGGTAACTTAATAAAAAATGATTCTCAACCGGTTTTAAACACTACATAAAACAATTTAGCAATTTTATTTTTATGTCTTATAAGTATGAATTGTGAAAAAGTACTATTTCACTTAAATAGGATAACTGGCAGCCGTGTACAATATGATCTAATAATTATGTTATATAAGCTTCAGAAGTGAAAATAATCTTATACCCATACTTGTTTAGCTACTTTGACATTTTATTCTATCCTAATTTTGTTTGGTTAACCTAAGACCAAAAAGGCTAGACTCTCTCAATTAAATTAGGTAGGAAAATCAAGGTCGTCGGAACATACATTTTGTGTACCTAGGGGCAAAATATCCCTCTGCACAAAACATATCTCGGTTTTGCTATTTTCGATTAAAACACCAGAATTTGGTCTGATTGAACTAAGATATGCAGGGGTGGTAGTGGTTAAGGGGTTTAGATCACTATCTAGCCCAACTTGACGTTATGAATGTAGATCGTACTCTCGTCACACAAAGTTTACGTTTTTATCTGACTCACAGCCCTTACTATTCCTGACAGGTTATATATATATATATTTATCATTAGCTTGCGGACAAGAACAGTGTCAACGCCACAACAATAACAACAATGACAGGGGATGGCGTACCGGGATACTAAACAGAGTGACTGAAAGGTTAAACGGTTACATGGATAACAGCAAATAAAAGGAATAACAACAAAGTTTTTGTTTCACCCTACACTTATTGACAAATTTTGTGCTTGTCCATTGTTTCTTACGGAACGCAGAATTTTGACAGGCAGACCGCACTGCATTCGTGTCATTGATTTCTATGCTGAATCATATCTCCCAGCGTCTCGAATCGACGATAGTTCTCATCCTTTGGGCTTCAACCTGGGAGGCGGGTTTCAGTCAGCACTTTTTCCCCAGCTGCTATCAGCATACATTCACCCAACCCCAGAGTAGGCTATTCAGGCACAAAACTCATAGTTACAAAGTGATTGCAAAATGCTGGAGCATCCACGAAGGATGATCACCAAAATATTTGAGGGGTTAAATTTTTACTCATAGGCAGAGAGACTGGAGTCGTTGGGATTATATTCCAGTCACTACCGGAGCATCGGAGGAGACATGATTATGTTATATCAATTATTGCAAAACCCAAACCATCCGTGTCGCTCGCTGTTGAAATTGTCACCCAAAGTTCATCTTAGAGGACATCCGTTTAAAATAAGGGTGTCAAAATGCCGATTGAAATGCCGACGTCAGTCATTCGCAGTCAGAGTGTGTTTCATCTGTAACTATCTCACACCTCATGTCGTCTGTGCGCCAAGCATTGAATTTTTCAAACTGAGACTTCATGAAGCAACAGCACGCCTTACATTCCAACATAAATGAAGCTGCGTGCGGCAGCAGCAGCCCGTGTTAAATTTTTACATATGTAATTGTACGCATCACTGTCTTTTAATCAAAACACGAACCTATGGGACGAGGAAAGCATGAGCTTGTAAGTTATTCCCATAACAAAACTTTGAAATTGTGAGCCAAAGCCAAATCTGAAGCTAAATTCTTCACGCTTTAGTCCGACCACCACAACGTTTCTTCCAATCTTGTTCAATATAAGCAAGAATAGCGCGGAAAGGTAAACAATAGACAGGCATACGTAAAACTCGGCCCAGCCACAGGAGGCGGTGTTGAGCGATTAATTCTTTTATAGAAAGACTATCCACAACCAAAACACGACGAAGAACCTCATCAGTGCCCACCCGAGGTCCCCAAGACACGGGCAATACTTTGGAGATATCGGTGGTCGAATACAGAAAGTTAACTAGCACCATCCGCTCGGATAAGCAAGGTCTTGCAACCGCTGCAAATCGCGGCGGTGTTCACCCTTCCATTAAGGGACAGTTAAATGGCATAACGGCACCAAGTGTCACAGGTTGGCAAAAGCTGCTTCAGCTTGATCTAACCTTCTTCTGAACACCGCCATCAGCTGAGATCAAGCTCCCGAAGTACTTAAGACTCTCAAATATTTCCAGCTGATCATCGCAGAAGGTGAACATAGGCACAGGCTCCTGCCAGTTTTGAAAAAGCACTTTGAAATTTGATGGTGCAAAGCACATACCGTACCTGGATACCCCTATCGCCATGTGGTTTAAGGCGTATTGGACTGCCTAGGTACTGTCACCCTAAAAGGCAATGCCATTGGCATGTTCTAGTTCAATAACTCTGTTTCAGAGAGGAGTTCGATTCCACCGTTTGCTAGACCAGCCAAAGCCGCCTGTAGAACATATTATATGATAAAGTTGAAAAAGAACAGCAATGTAGAGTGGCCTTTTTGAAGTCCACTGGAGACAGCGAAAAGTAGCGAATACTGGCCAAAGGTTCTAAGTCGACATGGTGTATGACGATGCAACTTTTTGACAATGGACACAAACCTCTCAGGAACTCCATTCCTCAGTCCCATAGTGCGGTTCCATCGACAGAGTCGGAGGTCGCACGAATGCGGAATGACACAATGATCGTTGGTCTTCTATACGCATGACACTGCTCTAGCAGCTGTCGGAGGGTGGAGATTCGCTAGATGCATCCACGACCTGTGTAGAACCCAGCCTGCTTCTCGAGGGTTTGCTCCTCACCAATAGAGTACAACTGGCGGAGAATGATGAACACCGACGGCTTTGGTGTTGCTGAGATCAGGTTTATATCCCTATGGTTGGCGCAGTCCCTGATTAGGCTCTTTCTGAAGATGGAGAATACAATGGGCTTTAGAGGACAAAGCCGTTAATTCTTGAACAAGCTTTATTACACCATCTTTAACTAAAGCTGAGGAAGGCCACCAGAGTCCGGTGCATTGTGACATCCCAGTGCTTGAAGAGCCCTTACGGTTTTCCCCTCAGAAGTTGNACCACGGGCCGTGTGCTGGATTAGCTGTGTGAGGAGCTGACGCTGACAACCAGCTGAACTGTGCCTCCGAGTGCTCCGCTCAGCGTGCAAGAGATCACTGTAGATTATAAATGGGAGGGTGAGCAGTTAGTTTGGCAAATTGTTTCACTCACACCGAAGGATTTCTAACCTGTGACCCGGATGAGATGAACGACCCACGAGAATTTCTCATGGTGGAGCTTTGAGTCCATTAGATCTCGCGGTTTCTGTGTAGGCTTACGTTCAGTTTGCGTCTCAATTGCACAATATTTATTATTTAAAGCAATTGATTCAGGTAATCCGGGAAAACCCAAGAATAGTACGGCGGAAATCATCATTCATTGATATCAGTTAAACAATCAGCGTGTGTGAATGCTTTTGTGCGATCAGCACAGCAAAGGACGCAATTAACGTCAATCAATGAACGCCTCTATCTGAGGCAGTATTTTGTCCATGAGCAAACCATACAGCTATTTCCTTGTTATAAAGATCATTACATGATGATTCGTTTGGCAAACAGTTAAAATACGGATAACTATGAAACACAACATATTTAATAAATGTGATAAAAGCACTTTTACCCAAATTTATTGCAGCCTACTCAATTCTGAGAGCTCAGGAAAAATTTGCAAAATCAGATAGTCTACGTAGATCATAAACGCAAGATTTTTTGACTGAACCAACCCTATCTTAAACATGATGCATCTCATTTTCAAATTTTGATTCACATAGTATTTTTGTGTTCATTTGGAAAAAGTTCTGCGGGCTATATCTTTCAGTCAAGTCACACACAACTTAAGTATTACAAAAACATGAATCCTTTATTTTTCACGTTCATATAACTGTTCTAGCAAAATATTTATTGGATACAAATGAATTCTACTGATATTTCATTATTTCAACTTCGAGAGAATATCTACGGGAATTTATGTAAAATGATTCAAAAAAGGTTAACATCAGCTATTCCCGGACACATTTATGAAATAAACATATATCCTTCACCGGTATATCTGTCTATTGTTTTTTCCACCCAATTTTTCATACCTAAGAAATCTGCTTATTAAATGATTTGATGAGGAAGACAGTTCTTGAGACTCATAGGCATGACACAATTCACCAAGATCCGTACTGAGAAAGGATTTTCTCCATCTAGAAACTTGAGTGGCAGCATCGAATAAGAATTCTGACCCACAATGCGGTAGGGTCGCGTAATCAAAGCATTAATGTGATATCTATATGTAGTATTGGTTTGTGAGTTGATCATTAGTCCACCGTTAAAAGTTGACTCAGCGCAACGGGCGCATCCAGTACGAGATAGCACCGTGCTAAATGGGGGCAACTCGGCATAATAGTAAAAGGATAATGTTTGTGTAGATTGAAACGGTTTTTAAATAATCGAAAAATCATGATCAGTATTCTATTTTTCAATGAAAACTGAAACGTGATTTCTTTAAAATAAAATGTGCTATTATCTGCCGAATAGATTGTGTTTATTAGCTTTTATTTGAATTATACACAATGCTTCAGTAACTTTACATGCTTTACGAATTTGCTCTCCGTAGACAAAAAGACGATTTTAAAACAAAAAGATGTCTTTTACCCACTAGTTTTTTTGTGTCAGAGTAGATATTCATTGGCAAAACTATTGGGATTGGTAAACACATAAGCATGGTACTCACACACGTTTGCTGGTTTTGAATTTCACTTTCGTCGTTTTCCCTTTTCTCTTAGATTTCATTAGGTAACTGGAAAATGCCTTTCTTCTCACTCTTTTTACAAATAATTTAACATTTTCCTGACATAGACAATCAGAGATAACATTTAAAATAGAATCATTGTGAAAGTAGAATAATCTTTTGATAAACAACGCATTTTCCAAGCAGCAGACCTTGGTGTATGAGGAAAACATTCAAAGCTCGAAAAGTCTTCACAGCCAAAATTTGAACCCACGCTTGCCGGAGTTTTTGCAGTTCTTCTTCAGCACCTTTTAATCCCTATTAGTCAAACTTAAACCCAATCGGTTCCCGAAACCAGACTGTACCCAGCTTGTGGTCTTAATAAAACTATCAGCCCTGAACTCAGAATAAATCAATGACTCGCCAAGCAAATGAAACTAACCATATATCCTAAATGCGGATTGCTTGAATTTCTGAATACTGCTTTATTTAACAGATGGCGTGGAGGAGCTGCATAGAGATCTACTGATTGCGCCCTATTACCATCACCAAATGCGTTCACATTCATCTATGTTCTAGTGATCTAACGCCAGCGTACATAACTGACTACTGGTAATCAACTAACAGCTTGAGGGACATTGATTTGATAACCTAAGCGTCCCTAAAAGCCAAAGCTCACCCCGACAAGTCGTGTTCGCCCCCTTGGAATATCCTTGGTGTAACTTGTCAATCCTTCGGACGTCCGTCAACGTCGGTGTTCAAACTCCTGTAGGCATCAGCCAGCTGTCCTTGTTTGGAGTATGGCAACAAATCAGTAATGCACCAGAGGTTGGCTCTATCTATAAAGAACTCTGTGCTAATTAGCTGTAATTTTTGACTACCAGTTGTATGCAACAGTAAGACTGAAAATTCAACTTAAGCCGTCCGTGAATCTGAATATTTGGTATAAGGGAATTACTGATGCACCTGTGAACATAGCAATTTTGACGAAAAGTCCTATCAAAGAATAATTATCACTTACGCTTATAAAGCATTGCCACTGACTTGTATGTACAAAAATAACTACTACTGAGCTATGAAAATGTAACCCTTTAATAGAAGCTGGGGTTATGCGATAATCGATCGCAAAAGTCACTCTTGAGAAATCGAATTGTTTCCAAATGTTCGAATTCAGCGAGTTTCGTCAATTCAATTATAGGGCTACTGAATGTAAAATGGTACTTGACTTTGTCAAGCTAATCTTTGCGCAGTTGGATGATGTTTACTGATAAAGATGCATTTTATTTTCCAAACTATAGCATGTATGTAAAACCGTTTGAACGGTTTAGGGGGCATTACTATGAACATTTTTACAATAATCTCTTCTTTAATTTCTGTTATAACATCAAATTTGTTTCCCGTATTTTTATATCAAGCTTAACTTGGCTTACCGATATGTGTATCTTAGGTGTAAGACACAAGCCGTCTGTTTGCTTTTAAATACACTAGAGGTAACGTCTTAACGTATGAGCTGTTACTGACTATTTCGGGGAAGCAGCTTCTTTTATTTCTTGAGTCAAGTTAAGGAGAACAGTTGTATCTTAACTTCAACAAGAATTATGTGCTCCTTATAAAATGAAAACATTTATAGACTAACCATTCATTCACACTCTCTAAAATAAAATTAGAAAGGCGCTTAAAGACCCCACATGATTGTTCTTATTATTTTTTGTTTTTTTTTTGTTAGCACTTGTTTTTGGCCTTCTAACGTTCACAAATACATGAATGATAATTTGATCAAATTTTATCAAAGGAAAAGCCAGAGGTGTCATGTGTTTAATAAATAGGACTCATTTTAAACAAATATCCTTGAACTTGGAATATCTGTTGAAGAGAGTAAAAGCTAATGTATATTATTGGAGATTAGGCTATCTAGAGAATGATATAAACACCCAGGCAATTCGCTGTCTTTTTCTCACTTCAAGTGTGTGTCTGGTACTTATCTTTTGGAATTTGTGATTCCGTTAATTTTTCAATACACTAAACAAATCAATGCAAATAGTTCTCCCATCAGAACACCCAATACCTTTGAAATTACAATAGATCTTTGGTATCATGGCTTTCATTGTAACAAACTCTGAAACTAGAACAAGCTTCTTCCGTGATAAATTTAAAAAGAGAAGCCAGTAAATTTGCACGATTTTTGTCCTGAAAGTGTTCGTTGTATGAGAACTGATACCTACTGCAGACGGATGGATTGTTTGTATAGGGTTTAGGAATGGATTACAAAGTAAACAAGAGCAAATGGAAGAAGAGTCTTCCAGGCCTAGCCAAAGTAATAACAAGTCTTTTTGTTGACACAAACATTATTTTCATCGGTTGATTGTAAATGCACCGACCATCTTAAGAACTCTGGTATGATCATTAGTATCTGTCATTAAGTTCTCTCGATTCAAAAATTCCTTTTTGGTATTTGAACATTCTCTGCCTGCTCTAATATTTTGACTTTTTATAATATTCCAAGTTTTTTGATAAAAGGGTATCAACAAATCATATGATAAAAGTTGAACAGAATACACTGGGGTGTTCTCATGCAATTGGAGTTCATTTAAGTAATTACCGTGTTTTAACCTTTCACTGATCTGTTTGTCTATCCCTCAAATGAGCAACTGACTTAGAAGATCTTAGTTGAGGCCTAGAATGAGGATTTTATTCAATCAGATAGCGAAGTATTGCTTTACGCTTATACATTTGCTGTTAGCTGTTCTCAGTTTAGTGTAGTCACACATCTTTCTGAACGAATAGTTAGGGGGAAAGCACATAGATTGAATCAAAATCGCAAAACCTAGGCGTTGTAGCCATTTAAACTCACAAAGCAGTTAAGTCGTATTGGCAATATCCTAAATAGATTAACCAAGAAATTTTATGAGACAGACTGTCCCTTAAGGGAAACGTGTACATCGCCGCGAGCCGAAGCGTTCTGCTTTACGGTTGCGAGACTTGGCCCATCCGAGGTGAAGGTGCTAATTGACCTATTCGACCACCGATATTTCCGAATCATTGTTTGTGTCTGGTGAAAACATCAGGTGAACAATGAAGAGGTTCATATTGGTGTGTTGGTTAAGGATAGTTATTCTCTGAAAGAAGTAATCGTTCGAAATCGCCTCCGATAGCTCAGTCACATATTACATATACCTGCTCATCGACTACCTTTCCGTGCTCTCTTTGCACNAAAGAAGTGCCGCGGCGGTCAGATCATGACGTGATGTGGAAGCGTGAAGAAGCTGGTTTCAGATTTGGCTTTATTTGATGCAGCCTGCCTTCCATGTGTAGGCCCAAGATATGATGATTGTCGTTGTTCCAAGACACTGAGATAAATGACCCAGAATAAAATTTAGAGCGAATATTTTACTTTATGCTTGTTGAAATCCCGTGCCCCATAAAATAACGATAAACTAACACAAAAATATCAAAACATGTATGATAAAAAAATAAAAAATTGTTTGTCTTGTTTTTCAACTTAACTATCTAACCGACTTTACACTGTTTTGTATCCCAACCGACCATTTTCTATTGTTTTTGTGTTGCGTTGACATCACGCTCGCTCTCAAGTCGGCGATAGATATAATAATATTACAAAAAAGGGTGTTCCGTGATTCGGTTTTGGACGGAATACAAGCAGGTTGCCCAAGCCAAAGCAAATGAGGTTTCTCATTGAGTTTACAACCACATCCTTCGGTTAGCCAAATTCTGACCCAAAATACAGCGGAGCGATGTATGTAAACCGCGGTCCATTATGGTCTGGTATTCAGTTCGCGAAATCATACTCCCTTTGGCCGGGTTTAAACGTTCAAGGTGTCCAATAAACTTAGATACACAGTCAAGCCGATGATATACATATATATTTACCACCGCCTTGTAAACAAGCATTTTGCCAACGCAACAACAATAATAACAATACCAATGAAAGTGGACAGATGGATTGGGGTACAGAACAGACTGAAAAGTGGGTGAAAACGTTAAACACGTCGCCATCTAATAGCGGGCTAATAGCCAGCTACAATGAACTACATTGCAGAAAATTCCGCTTTTATTTTTCGCCATAAGGTGGACAAATGTCCTGTCCATTATCCCTTAATAACCCTAAATTTTTACATGGATTTACTATCTTGCCATGGACTTCAGCACATTTTGCACACTGATTAGAACGCATCTAATAACGAAATTAAGACACCAAAAATAAGAGTTATTTGATGGAATCGATTATCAAATCGAGCCTTTAAGCCAAAAAGAGTTATGATAAATGCGTTTCATAGGTTGAAGACTTTTGAATAACAAATGGATCCGATGTAGCTTATAAGTAACTCCTTATAGCCGATTGGTGCGCTAACTCGGCTAACACACTGGGGCTTTTTCTCGCTCGAAAAACGCACGTCAAGTCGCAAGTTATTTTTCCGCTGGTACACCATCCGTAGGAATGGTAACATTTCTACATATAAGTATTTGTAATTTGCTACATTTCTTAGTCATACCACTCCCTAGAAATTTCCCTCTTTGAACTCTGATAATTGCGGTACGATTCTTTCTGTAAATATCCTTAAGCTGTTTTGGGTACTTCCGATCACAGTTACGGTTGATGCGTACAAGTAATTACCGATTAATCTGAAGAGCGATAATTCTATGATAGCAAATTGATGGCGTTTCGGTGAGGGTAAAAATTCAAAGTATGAAATGACCCGGGTCCAGGGTGAAAAATATCTTGCAAAAAACCTAGGTGACTGAGGCTGTTTCGTACTATCTAGCAAAAAAGACCCGAAATTTTGAAAAGTTAAGGCTGTCTGGCCACCGTTTTTCAACCTAAGCAGTTGTGTTATTTGTACTTTCTACGTGGGTTTTTCGATGCCTTTTGCTAGCAGGAAAGCTGTGTTACATGGGTATCTACTTAAGTCGCAGGAGTACATCGCTAATAGTACAGTTGGCTCTAGGAAAGGAACTTATTCACATTTATACGTTTATGACATTATAAAGCCACACGACATTTAGAGACTAGAATTCATAAATTACAGGTTCGGCACAATTATGATTGTGATTAAAGTAATGATTACCGAAGTTGTTCTTTTGTCTGTTCCAAGGTTCTTTGCAACAATGATTGCACGCCTTTGAAAACTTCGACTTCTTTGCAAAGTTCCTTCTGTACGTCATCATGGACAAGGTCGATTCCTGTACGACCCTCCCTATAGAGAAAAAGATTTTTTTTCCAAAAAATATTAAATTCTTCTATTGAAGAAATTCATACCTTGTAAGTATACATTGTTGTGTGATGTGAAGTGGCTCTTCTGTTGCATCTAGAGCCTTTTTCAGCCTTATATGGTACTCGTTTAATTTTTCTGTTTCTTCGGTGACGTCTTGTAGTTTCTTATTCACCTCCGATTTCCAGTACTTTATATCACTTATTCTTTGTTCTAGAAAGTATTAGAGTTAATAGAAGATCTAACCAATTTTTTTATCTACATCCCGCAGAGTCTTTTCAGTGCGTTTTGCAGCTTCTTCAATGAAGCGATCACATTCATTTTGTAATCCTTGTGCGAACTCTCTCTCTTTCTCTGCACTTCTATATTTAAGATTATTACTATAGTTCCATTCTTCGTGAGTGAATCGCTGGGATCCACGACACAATCCCGCCATTGGATATATAAACTATTGCTATTTGGATCAGTCACACGTTATCGATAGTTTTAAATTGCGCAGTAGTGATCCCAGCAACTAAGACGGCATTTGGAAACAATAAACAAATCTCAAAATTTCAGTTCAGTTCAGGTTTAAAATTTCAAGAGTTGATGAAGCCTTCTCTCGTGAGATGTTCTGGTGATGGCTTGTTCAATCCTGGGACTGACATATTGATTGACATATTGCGCACATACATGATCACTGTGATATCAGTCAGTTCAGTTTCCACAGGACGAATATGGCTCTTGCCAACCGAGCGTCCAGTTCGTTGTGTTGTCGGCGGATGGTAATAGCTTCCAACACTGCGTAAAGTTGATTAGGTGTTCGTGATCCTCTCGATTTAGCCCCGTTGCCAGAACGTTGACTCCTTGGGGGTATGCTGAAAGGGAGGAAAACAAGCAAGGATATCTCCTCGTCTCACTGATTAGAGACCTCTGGTACACATGCGTTCGTATACACAGAGCACATGTGACAGGACAGTCAGTGTTAGAATAATTCTAACAGTCAACCCCGAGTTCGCACCATTTCAAAGCTTCCGGCTAAAGTAGAATTTATTTCTTATGTTCCCACTCTAAATACTAACTTCGGGGAACGTTGCTGACCAACATGCGTCCAGGGCCATCTGAAAGGCGTTAACATTGGTGCAGTTGACCACTTCTGAAGGTAACCTTTTCCACAATGTATTACCCTGTGTGGTAGAAGTTTGCCCGTACTTCCAACCTGGCGTGGTTCTGCTGAAGTTTATAGCCATGACCTCTCGTGTTCTTGCCACGAGAAATCGTAAACAATTCGTCTAGGTTGAGTCCTAATAGACCTCTCACAATTTTGAAAGTTTTTATCAGATCTTCCCTCACCCTTTTACGCTCCAGTGAAAAGAGATTAAGATCTCTCAACCGCTGCTCATAGCTCTTCCCCTTTTGCCCAGTCACCATTCAGGGGGCTGGCGCCGCATTCTTTGTAATCAAGATACATCCTATAATACGGTGCCCATGCATGCACACAATATTTCATGTGTGGGCGAACAATCGACTTATACAGGGGGAAAACACCTCAGACCGTCTGCATGTTACTGTAGCACACAGTCTGAACAACTGCCCCTTAGCCTGATTTGCAGCCTTGAAGCACTGGGTTGATGGTTTAAAACTCTGGATCATAAGAACACCTAAGTCCCTCATCTGCGGGGCCAGCTGCATGGTGGCTCCATCCATCGAGTATACCCCACTCTCGTTGCTAATAGCCACTTGTTTAGATTCAAAGGTAGGTCTCACTTGATCGACCATCGATGGACTACGTCCAGGTCCCTTTGCAGACTTAACTCTGTCATTTTGACATCATCAGCAAACACGAAACACGAATTTTGAAGATCCTGTGCCAGGTAATTGATGAATATGAGAAAAAGTAGGGGCCTAGCACTGAGCCCTGGGGAACTCCACTCGTAACCACCCATGGTTAGAAATGTAGTCACCCACCTTGACCCGGAAGGTGCGGTTGTTCAAAAAGGCTACAATCCAGTCCCTGGCTCTACCTGTTATGCCTAGGCTCCAAACTTGGAAGTCCAACAATCTATGGCTGACAGAGTCAAATGCTTTACTGAAGTCTAAGTAATAGACATCTACATTTTTCTCCCCATCCATTCACCTCGTTTAGGAATACAAGCAGGTTCGTAAGATATGATTTCCGTTGCACAAAGCCATGTTGCGCCGGTGGCAGGAGTCGATTGCCAGTCAGATGTAGGCAAATCTGCTTTCTGATTAGTCGCTCCAGGCACTTACACAACACTGAACTTAGGCTAACGGGTCTGTAATTTTCTGCTTTATATCTCGATCCAGCCTTGTGCAGTGCTACTACGGTAGCTATAGGCTTGTCCTTGGGTAGCGTAACATTTTGCACTGATTCCCTAATCATTACAGTCGGCGGCCCGGCTAGCACCCCGGCCAACAGCTGCACTATGGCTGGATGAGTTCCATCCGGACTTGTAATAATAATAAGTGTATATTTCACGGAGTCCCGTGAGGCATGCATAGGCATGATCAAATGTACAACATAATCCTCCGTACAGGAGAGGTCCAAAAGAGGAAAAATTGAAGGTCGCAGCGAACATAATTACAAATGGAACACAGAGTAAACGAGGTATCAGATAATAAATGGTTGAGGATTGCGGAATGCTCTAAAAGAGAAAGTCGGTGGATGTAAGACGAAAAACAAGAATCGTTATACCGGAAGAATGGTGGGATGATTGGAAACACGACAAGCAG